ACAATAAAAAATACCCAGGAAATCAACAAAAATGGATTGAGAATAGTCTATGTAAAATCCTCCTTGTTTCAGATGGGTCAATAATTGATGAATCTCAAGAAATATGTGCAATACTTGAAGGTTTTTGGAGCCTCTAGTCAAAGGGCTGAGGGACACAGTGGTGATGCTTCATTGTATACACCAGGGATGTTTCTGTGGAACTTGCATGCAAGTGCTATCACTTCACTTTCTTGAATAACCTGTTGGTAACTTCTGTGACATTAGTCTGAAGTACACTGCAAGTCAGGTTGAACTCAGGATGAGGTTGATTGTAACTTGTGTTGATGTCAAGCTCAACAATCAACCTGATGTATTTCCCAAGTCAAGCTGTTATCATCCTTATAATATGAGTAAGTCAGATATTCATTTCACCTGCTAAAAAATCTTATAAAACATTTGCTCATCCAATTTTTCTTGAAATTATATTTGAATTCTAAAAGAATGTACAGAACCCATATTAAATTTTTTTGATTAACGCTCAAGGACTTATTTTTTGTCTTGAAATGATCATAACTCACATCAGCTATGGTCACCATTTTATCACCTTGATATTCTTTTTGTTTTTGACTTTGTGTTTGCTTAAATGACAGAGATTTAACCCAACTCCCTGCAGCTTCTGCCCTCAGCACAACAGTCAGTACAGAATCACAAAATGCTTTACATAATCATACTTATTTCTTCACTCTTCTGGTTGTCAAAGCACTGTGATTGCATCATAGCCAAAAGCCAATTTGCAACCAATTTAAGAAAGATTTAGTGTTGAATTGCAGATGATATCAACTGAAATTAGGACCAAGTTCACCAAAAATCAGGCTCAACTTGTGCACAACTTACAACCAACACACAACAGGTATTAGCTCAGTATATCACCAAGTTCAGAGAAAGCACTTGCATGCGAGTGCCATGGAAACATCCCTGGTGAAATTCAAGTGCAAGTTGATTTGAGACAATTTTGTGTATGTGAGCCTGTGCCTCTAGAGTGGTTTCAGGAAACAAGGGTGGGTTTTTATTGAAGTTATTTCAAGATGAAATTAAATAAAACAAAAAGCCTAAGAAAAGTAAAGGGAGTATGCTATTTTATTTTATTTTTTAATTGTATTTTGTTAAGCTCTAACAGTCAAAGAAAAGACTGGAGCAGCTGTGTGATCACCTTCCTCCATTGTATAGCTCAAAAGTGGGTATCCTGGTAAGATATGTATTACCAAGTCCAAATATTTTAGGCTTGTGGCCAAGGCTGTTTAAACGGAAACCTATGTGGTTTGTTTTATTGAATAAAAAAACACCCAAAAAACAGGAGAGAGGAAAAGAGGAATAGAAACAGGTAATTAGTGAGGGTTGATTCAGAAATCAACACTTGAGAAGAGAAGCAAAGAGAAAAATGAAATGATTAGAGGGAAGAAGACTTACTGGTAAGTGAAAATGACACTGAGAAGTTGGAAAGAAATAAGGCTCCTTGAAGTCCTTTAGTGATCTTGGTGGTTGTGGTTGGTTCTTTTCTGAGGAATGGAAATTTTCACTGAGTTCTATTTCAGTGGTGGGTGGAACTCAGATTGGATAATTATTCAATTTGAACCTGAATCTAGAAAATCATTCTATTTTTAACCTTGAATATAACAGTAACAAAACAGAACCAATCCAAACTTCCTCCATTGTAAATGGGTAGAAAAATAAGGAGAATTGAGATGAAATTTTTTATTTTATTTGATGAAATATAAAAACTCTTTTTTGAGAGAAAAATGAAAATGAAATAAGTTTATTTATTTAAAATTGAAGCCTTTTGGACAGGCTTACTGTCTTCAAGGCTGAAGTTTCAGCTCTTGTCTTGTTTTCCTTAATACTATCACTGCCTCTGAAAGGCCTTTTTCACTCAAATTCTATAACCCAAATTTTCCATACCTGGAAAAATTAACAGGTATTGAATATTTTTGCAATGCCAGATTTCCAGAAGAAAAAAAACATCCCTAAAAGGCTCCTCAAATAAATATATTATATTGAAGGGATCAAATATCATCCTGAATGTTAATACCAAGTGAGCTTGCCCATAATTTTAAAACATTCAGAATCAATGTATTTGAATTATGGCTTAATTAATCAGACCCTTTGCCTACCAAAAAAATCCTTCCATCATCCTCTCTTCTTTTTGATTTCTTGGAAGAATCATTCAACCTGACCAAGGTGGAGATACAGGAATCATGAAAGAGGTATGTGCTTCCCCTTTCCATCAAAGAATTCAATGTTGAGAATAGTTTGAAATTTTTTGAAAAAAATTGCTGTTAGCATATGGAAATTTGATAGATCAATGTGTGAGGCATAATTATGACCAGATCAAATGTCTATTTGTACACCCCACTTCTCCAGTCAAATATTTTCTTTCCAAAATGTATCAAATTTGACTGCTTTTACAAACTTAGAACATCATTCTTTGTATTTCACCCATTGAAAAATTGATCCAGATGATGGTGATTAATTCATCTGTATGATGAGATAAATTTACATAAAAAACAATAAATAATTATTTGTTTGGATTGTCACCAGATTGTTTTCATACTTTTCCTGGAATATGCAGAAATTAGGGTAGTTATGGTAAGCAGACGATAGGTTTTTTATGTTTAGAAATTCTGGATGCTAAATGAAGTGCTGCTTCATGTGGGCTAATTACACAGAAAATATTTACAATGTACAACATGAATCTTCTTGTGGAAAACTCCTTGATGGGCTATATTTGATCCAGGTGAGATTTCTTGCTTATTGACTTCTTAAAACATGCAGTCATTGACAAGGTATCCTGGCTTCAATGATAGACCTGCTCATCCCCATTCAAGTTTCCAAATATGGCATCCACCCCCTCATCCCTCTGCCTCAGTGTTTTCTACCAGTGCTCACAGTAAATCCTCCCAAGATATGACAATAATCAATTCAAATAATCCCTCCACCCAACAAGTCCAGACTCAAATTGTTATGGGCCACACTTACTGATGGATCTGAATGGGTCAATCAAGAAATGTCACATATCATTATTGCCAATTTACAACCAAATAACTCAAAAAGTTCCAGTGGAAATTCCTTATCCAATGTCAGTGAGCCTATCCTTCTTATGTGTCAGATAGGAAACAAGAAGTATATTTCATATTATTCAAAAATGAACAATGATACATTCAATGTTTTATTTTTTATTAATTATAAGATAAATATGATTTATTGCACATTATGTGACTGGGATTACTGTAGAAAATCTACAATGCCTCCTCCTCAAATGAAAACGAGTAAGATATCTGACAAGAGAACTGTGTCAGTACAATTTTTTAATCCAAAAGAAACTGGCTAAGGTTCTTCAAAGGAAAGCCAGCTAGGTGGTTTTATTTGATAGCCAAAAAAATCACAGAAAACCAAGGGAAGAAATTTTTTTTGCGGCAAACAGAAGTGAGAGAAGAGGATGGATTCTTAAATAATCAGAAAGGAAACATTGAACTAGAAAGGAGAATGAAATTTTATCTTATTCCTGAAACCGTATAGTAGGAGGGATAAAATAAAGTGAAGGTCCTTGCATACTAGGTATTCTCCTAGTTGAGGATCCTGGTTCTTAGTGCTTTTTATTAACAAAAAAAAAAGAAAGTGTGTGATGGGAAGAAGCTTGAAAGAGGCTGATCCACCTCTGCATTCAACCTCTCACCAGGCCAAAAACAAAGGCAACATGTACACATTGCCTTCACTTTGGGTCTGGTGTCTATGAAAAATAAGCCTTTTGTCAGCCTTAGAGACAGTAAGACTATCCAAAGGGCTTAAATTGTAAAAGAATAGATTTATTTAATGGATCATTTTTTCTTTCTGAAGAGATTCTTTTATGCTAGATATATTCTTTGATTAGATTCTCCTGATTATTCTACCCATGTGAATTACATGAAGTGTGTGTGTAGTAGTAGTGTAGTGGTCCTGTTATTTTTATTGGTACAAGTTGACAGATATAAAATTTGAAAAGTATAAAGTTAGATATATGACTAAAGTAATAAAATGAATGATTATCTTGAGCTCAGTCTCCAACCATTTTTGAGGTTTTTAAAAAAAAAAAGAGAATTTTATAGTGACTTGAAATGACAAATTGAATCAAAATTCAATTTGATGTCTGCTGAAATTTTGAAATAGAGCTCAGTGAAAATTTTCATTCCTCAGAACAGAACCAACCAGAACCATTAGATCCCCTTAGTACTCCAAGGACCCTTACTGCTGCTACATCATCCTCCCACTACTCAGGGTCATTATCAATTATCAGTAATTCTTCTTCTACTCTATTCTTCACATTTTTCCTCCTCATTGGGGTTCATTTCTGAAACAACCCTTACTGCTGACCTGTTTCTCTCCTTCTCTCTTTCTTTCTCTCTTGTTTTTCAGGTGGATTTTATACATTAAATAAAACCCATAGGTTTCCATGTAAACAGCCTTGGCCACAAGTGTTAAGTCATTTGATGGGTGCCATTAATCACACAGCTTACTCTGGTTCTTCCTTAAGCTACTTTTGAGTCTATAAAAATTGAAACAAATAAAACAAAAATAAGAGAGAAAAAACAATAAAAACAAAAATCATTACATTTTTATAAACTGTTTATTGTGGTTGACTTAATGTTTGAATACAACTAATTAAGTACCCATTTCTTGTGTTCTGCTTCCACTCTACTAGAGGCACAGGCTGACAGCAGCAGCTGTGACAGACAAGAGGAAAATGATGTTGGAGTTCATTATGGTGGGGAAGTGCTGGAGTGATTTTGGATGAGTTGAGAAGAATGTGTTGCTGGGAAGGGATGAAGACTTGTTAGATTTTCAAAAGAAAAGACAAAATCTTGGTTTCAAACCTGCTATGTTTCTGGAAATGACATAAGTGTGTCAATTGAGAGTGTGATTGAGTAGCGAGATTGAGATGATACAGAGCCAAAAGAACAGAAGAGTGAGTGACAATGCACAAAAGCAATTGACCCCGACGTGACTTGAACACGCAACCTTTCGATTGGCAACCAAACTGGAGTCGAACGCGCTACCATTGCGCCACGAAGTCAGCCATGTTATGACGCGAGTTGTTTTCAACCCATATACACCGAGTGGTCCAAACTTTCACGCTACGTAGAGCGAGCAGGACGGCTGAAGAAAGGGATATGAAATTTGAAGGGGGGGGGGGGGGGGTTG